CCTTTTTAATCATAACAGTCTCGTCAGCGTGAGGCAACGATCGTAGAATATTAGAGAGCAGCATCTGGCACTTTAACAGGAAGTAACCTCCAACAGACTCAAGGACGGGTCTCCATCTGGTGTGGGAATGAAGGCGCTTACCTGTTAGGGCTGTGCCCTGAACAATAATAATAATAATAATAATAACAATAATAATAATAATAATAATAATAATGATGATGATGATGATGATGATGATGATGAGGGTCAATGTGACTGAGAATCCAGGTCATTCAGAGCAGATGCAGGGCTGATGTCATGACCATGAGAGTCAAAATAAATTCAGTCTAATCAGAATCGATCAGATAAAACAAATCCACTGCGTCACCTACAACACCACATTAGCATTACTACAAATATTCACTGTGCTCTACGCCCATTTCAAGTGTAACCCTCTGCACTGTTCTGCACTGTTCTCCATCACTATCATCAAAATGAAGGAAGATTTTTGAAGCAGCGAGTTCATTAAAACTCCACTCGTCCAGTTTCTTCTGCAGAGCTGCACCTAACAACGATCGCTGGCTTTACAAATCCAAGAGCAGGCAGCCTCTACTCCATCCGCAACCTTCCTTAAATCGCCGTCGCCACATCATATTCATCAATAGATGTACATAGGTCCTTCCTGTCCTAACCTGGAGTATACTAAACTGGTGTTTAAGCTGTGGCAGCAGACAGGAAGTTAAACAAGCCCATAAATGACGGCGATATTACAAAGTGTAAATAAGGAGCGCAGGTTCAGTCTCTTTTAAACACAACTGCTTTCAGACCACATCAGAGCAGCAGGTCAGCAGAGTGTCCTGGTTCTGTGAAGTAAGCAATAAAATGCGCCACGCAAACATTAATAATGTTCAGCGCCATTCCTCTGCTCTGAACATCTGTAGAGCTGGGTGGTAAAACGCAGACGTGCAGGGAGCGTTGGAGTGGGGGACTGAAGGTGGCGGCATTGTTTCTATCAGGGTCTGCTGTTCTTCTTTATGTGTGAACTGTCAATCTCTGGGCTGATATCAAAGGCTCAGGGAAATTAGAGCAGACTGCTACGAACATAAAGCACTAAAGCTTAGCGGGGTGCATCCACTATGCCACTAATTAGGCAGGGGCCAACAAAATAACCTGTCAATGCGCTACGGTATTGCAGCCATTTCCCACACACCTGCATTTTACCCTCTATTAGTCAGACACACACTGTGTGCGTCTGTGTTGAACACGAGGTCTGAATGGGAGGTGGTGCTGGGAGGATGGGGCTGTTGAGTTAGCGCGATAAAAGATGGCTCAAGTGTGATGATGAAAACCAAGGGCAGCACAAACACAAAAAATAAAGAAATAAATAACATTTCCTCTCCAAAATAAAATGTTTTACTCTAAACAGCCTTTATCTCAGTTTTTGCCTCAGGGTCCACTTTCCAGTGAATGACTCGAGTTGTCTGTTTGTTGTACAAGGCCTTGCACTGCAGCGCGAGGGGGGGGGGTTATAGATGACCTTTGCTTTGCTCATTTCTCACTGACAGGCAGGAAGTCCATGGTTTCATCATTTAATATACAGCTTTCCTTAAACAACACGAACGAGCACCACTCTGACCAAATAATACCAGAACACTGAACCAAGAATACCAGTGTCATCAACCTCACGGACATCCCCCCCCTGACAGCCAGCACAGGTGTTAACAGAGTCTGACATCTGCATATAAACCTGACACATAACTCAAAAAGACAAAGGAACAGCAGTGATACTTTCTGTTGTGTTGTTTGGTGTAGAAAATGAAGAAACATTCAGGCAAAGTCAAACTCTGGATCAGATCTGTGAGGACATTCACGTGTAGTTCAGAGAAACGAACACGCGTGTCAGGAATGATCCAAATGCTCACATTGGTCATTGAAGGTGTTTCAGAAACGCTGACACACTGTGAGCCTGCACAGTCTCTTAAACTCTTCATTAACCTGATAGCTAAAACATATTCCTGTGAACAACATGGCCTCATCTGCATCCAGT